TCATATGGTGACTTGGCCAATTTGGGTCACACAGTCACTTGGCCAATTAGGGTCATATGGTGACTTGGCCAATTTCGGACATATAAAAGAATTTGACAGTTTGGGTCATATGGTGACTTGGCCAATTTGGGTCACATGGTGACTTGGCCAATTAGGGTCATATGGTGACTTGGCCAATTTGGGTCATATGGTGACTTGGCCAATTTGGTTCATATGGTAACTTGGCCAATTTGGTTCATATGGTAACTTGGCCAATTTGGGTCATATGGCCAATTTGGGTCACATGGTCACTTGGCCAATTAGGGTCATATTGTGACTTAGCCAATTAAGGTAATATGGTGACTTGGCCAATTAGGGTCATATGGTAACTTGGTCAATTAGGGTTGTATGGTGACTTGGCCAATTAGGGTTGTATGGTGACTTGGCCAATTTGGTTCATATGGTAACTTGGCCAATTTGGGTCATATGGCCAATTTGGGTCACATGGTGACTTGGCCAATTAGGGTTATATGGTGACTTGGCCAATTTAGGTCATATGGTGACTTGACCAATTAGGGTCATATGGTGACTTGGTCAATTAGGGTCATATGGTGACTTGGCCAATTTGGTTCATATGGTAACTTGGCCAATTTGGGTCATATGGCCAATTAGGGTCACATGGTCACTTGGCCAATTAGGGTCACATGGTCTCTTGGCCAATTAGGGTCATATGGTGACTTGACCAATTAGGGTCATATGGTGACTTGGCCAATTAGGGTCATATGGTGACTTGGCCAATTAGGATCATATGGTGACTTGGCCAATTTGGGTAATATGGTCACTTGGCCAATTAGGATCATATGGTGACTTGGCCAAATTGGGTCATATGGTAACTGGGCCAATTATGGTGACATTCATGTGACAGACACTTGACCAAATTGGGTCTTATAGTATCTTGGCCAATATGTTGTGACATGGCCAATTTAGGTTAAATATTGAATTGATAAGTTTGAGTCACATGAGGCCATGGCCAATTTGGTTCATATAGATATTGACTTAACTAGTTCATGTGATACAGTTATTGTCTAAATTTTGTCTTATGGAATGGATGTCATGATGTGTCATATGATTGGCTAATTAGACCCATGGTGATTTAGAATTCCAACTTTAATTACACTTTTTAATTTTGTTATCAGTTAGTGTCCAATAACTGACACGGTGAATAAACATATGCAATCAACATATCAGCATATCATGTGAGATTCCAACATCACAAAACACTTTTTAGTATATGCCAACTTACTAGCTCTGCCAACTTCTTGCATTATTAGTACATCTAAAAATGGCAGCACCATACCCTGACCTAAAAATATCTTCACTAACGTAGTCGCTACTTCCATTTTATCAAGCGTCATCACTTCTTCTAGCATATTGAGTGGTGTGGAACCTTCTGCCTGTATAAGAGAATGGAAACAACGTGTATGAAACAACATATACTGAAAACATTTGCCCCCCCCCCCCCGCAAGACAATTGTCAAGAATTGTGAGTCAGCGAAAAATGGTGGCTTATGGGAATTCATGCCTCCACATGATTATCATAACACTAAAATATGATAGTGAAAATTAAACACCTTACTAACTGTAAAATACTTTATTTTAGCTGGATTTAATTTTTGCAGAAAAAACTTTTTGGGAACTTTGTATGGAATTTATGTAATATATAAAGCCAAACATTTCACCATCTCATATGACTAATTTTTTCTCGTCCAATTTTTCAATTTATTTTTGGTCAAAAACACATTTGCAAAAGTTCAATTCTTCAAAGTAAAATGATATTTATTATACATGTAGTGTTTCACAGATTTCTCTTAGTCACACTACCACAATTTAGGTATTAAAATGTAATAATATTATTGCATTTGGATGACAGTGTGTGTCACTTAAATATTCTGATCATCAGATAAATTTATAATGTAAAAAAGCAAAAGCATTTTGTTTGCAGAAATTAATGATACATTAGTTGTAGTTCTCATTACTGAAGAATACAATAGATTTTATATATCTATTAATTTCCTCCCACACCATCCCCTTCTGTTCCACCAAATAACCCCTGATAAAAGCCATTATTTGCAGCCCAAAACTAATTTTGATCCGTGCAATTTCCACAAATACAAATATTCAATTTCAAGTGATGCATCAATTTAATGAACCAATACTGTATAATTGGGTAAATTGGCAGTATAAAATATTGATTGAAATTTCCTTATAACAGTCAAATCATATACTACAATCTGAAAAAATCCTTCTGTTATAAGCCCTGCGAGAAGGCCTATTATTATGACTTAAAAAAAGAAAATACATGTAGGAAATATAATTGAGGAAATATACAAATTTGATTGTAACTGACTAATCTGCATATTCATACTTGAAGCCTTTTAGCTTGATGAAAAAAAATAACCTTTTGTTTCAAACATTTATGTAAGTTCTTGTACTAAAATTAAACTTCCATAGACGACAATGTAAAAACTTAAAAAGCAGAGCTTTTTACAATCTACCTAAAATCTATAAAAAATAAAATAAAAAGAGTAATTTTTTAGTTTAGAATGAAATACTAAACATCATTATCACATACGTTTAAAGTCCAAATAATGAAGATGATTAAACTACACTGGTATTGGTTAAGTTACAAATTTGTACACAGCTGCATGTATGTATTTAAATTGTATCATTCCACCAATCAAAAAACAGATGGTTTTTGCAAAAATTCTGCATACAAAACCTAAAGCATGCTAATATCGGGATTACATTCATGGGTTTCTGTGACCTTTATGTGACCTCGCATCTTGACAAAAATCCTAAATGCGATACGTAACCAAGAGCCCAATCCTAGTTTGAGCTTTATTTGTACTTTTTTCTCTCATTTTTTTAAAATATGTTTTCAATTATTATTATACACTTTCTATTACTTTATTTCATTTGGATTTATTATTAATTTGCTGGTAGTATTTACAAAATAATAAAATATATAGTAAAAATAGAATAAAATATGTAAATTAAAATCAAATTCATGCCGTACAATACATCGTAATTTAATCAGATTGTCAACAGCTTATAGATACTTTCATTTTTACTGACTGATGCTGAGAAAAACCTACAAGTATATTTGACTTTGATATATGCGTACGTGTGAAAACACAATTTCACGTGAACTCACATACCAAGTGAACTGATTTCAATTCACAAAAAATCTTGTAAATAATCGTTGCCTCCTAATTTAATTCAAAAACAATATATTATTTTTATGAGAATTGTTAGACATTAATCCCCACACCAAGTGGTCGATGTGGACATTACTATTAAAGTGAATGTACCTGTGTATGTCATTTGTGTATCTCGGATTATTGCTATAATACTGGCTTGAGGGCTCGACTTTAATGGAAAGTTGAATTTCATGGAAAAAATATACAATGTATTGAAAAATTAGTTCTGAGAATGTGCAAAACTAATAAACATAAACACTTGAGAATGTAGCATTGTTTACTGTCAGTTTAATTGTCAGAATCAAACTACAAACCTGACTAGAGATGCTAGAAATTAAGTGCTCCTGTGTAAAATGAATTCTTAATTGCTTATGCTAGTTTACCGATTGATTCACAACTTAAATGATACATCGTGATTCAATCCATTTGACCAAACTGTTGTTAGATCACAAAATAAACCAAGTTTGAAATACCTAAATACAGGGCAGCTGTCGTCATGCCATGCATGCGCAAGATATATGGGTCTCATATAGACAAAGATGGCGACTTTGACTGTTGCGCAGATCAATGAGTACAAACTGAGACATTACTAAGCTTTAATTAGGTATTTTTTAGGTGATTAGATCGAGGTATCAAAGGAGTCATCGCCGGTAATTAATGCAAATCGCGCCCATATCAAACCTTTTACGTTCCATTGGAAGAACACATTGGATTGTGGAAAAATCAGTGTTTATCAACACAAATGTCACACATGCGCAGCGCGACGACCATCGCCTTTAATATTCGCAGATAGTGTAGGATACTCAACTACATACACAGTATATGCCAGTGTACAGTTTAAAAGCATTTGAGCAAAACCACTATTATATGATACAGAATAAACAGACTGAAAATGAATTAAATGGCATAAACTAGCTGCTGATATCAAATATTCATTCACACAAATATCAAGTGCATTTGCATTTGGCCAAACAGAACTTGAACTAGTTTGATAAATATCTATAGTCACAGATTGATGCCAAACAGTCATCAGTCATGTAACTACAAAAATACTATCTATGTACCAAGTTTTAATCCATTTGCGCAAACTATTGATACAATATCAACAAAACCCATATGCAAATTAATATATGCAGATTAATTCCAAAGCAGTGATACACATTCAACTACACAAAAAGTGTGCATTTACAAATTTTTAACCCATTTAAGCAAACTTCTGTTAGCATATCAACAAACCATGCTGAATCAAACTATGCAAATTAGCTGATTAATATGCACATATTTGAACTAAAAACTAATCGGGTCTGGAGTTTATTACAAATTGCATTCATTGTTAATTACTCACCTGGGCCTGAGATACAGATTCCACTAATAAATCTATAAGAGGTTGGTAGTACTGTGAAGGCAAAATTCTCTCTTCTGAACATCTGACCTTTAACCTCAGTGACCCAAGGTCGGGGCTGAAAATAACAAAAAGAAAATTTTGATTCAACCCAGAAAACAAATACAACAGTTTTTAGTCAATTTAATTTCACAATCAATATGAGCATGCATTTTTTATCTTATTTTATTTTAAAATCTGAATTTTTCTTTCTTTTTTTTTCTAAAATTCTAGAAAACAAATCAAAATATGAGCACACGCACAGAATGTATAGAAATATGACAATTTCTGTCATGGTCTATACTTTTCTAAAAGTTATAATAATGAAGCGTTTTCATGCAATTATTCATGAGTCTGTCAAGCCTATATTTGTTGAAATTAGACCTAATTTCATTTTTTAATATACTTTGACTAAATGAGATTATGTCCAGTATATTATTATTTTTTCGCACTTATAAAATTTTCATCTACACATGGGTTTTGGTCTAAATATACAAAAATTCATGAATATTTAACCCTAAAATGTAGTTCATGACATTAAATATTGCGTAATGTAATTAATGGAGTCGCTCAATAATTAAACCAAACCATTTTTCACAAGTTTTTTTAGGATTCACAGAAAATCAATAAAAAGCTTCTGAGAAGACTAGTTCAGTACATCTGTACTAGTTCAGTACATCTTTGAGCATAAGTACTGGAAAGCATGTTAATTTTACAAATTTTAATTTTTTTAATTTTGCCGCACGCAGTACGTATTTACTATAATTAGACATAGTCTTTACCTTGCCGTTTATTCGGTGTTATTTGCTTACTTTACTTCCTATGTCGACAGCAACTATGAGTTTAAAAATAATTTCTCAGTACTTATTCACTGTTAAAATGCTGTACCATTACTTTCACCATCCTACTACAGCCAGATCTGAAGGCCTTTGCCGCATTCTGGCCATGCTGTGTGGCGCGTATCGCGTGGACGGGTTTCACGTTCTCTGCACGTAATAAGCTCGGTTATTAAGCATCCTTTTTTGGGGATGCCCGGTGGCCGAGGGGAAGACGTGTAGTGGCGTGTAGCTAGGCGATTAGGTGCCGTACGCGAGCGCTGGTTCGAGTCACGCACGCAGTACGTATTTACTATAATTAGACATAGTCTTTACCTTGCCGTTTATTCGGTGTTATTTGCTTACTTTACTTCCTATGTCGACAGCAACTATGAGTTTAAAAATAATTTCTCAGTACTTATTCACTGTTAAAATGCTGTACCATTACTTTCACCATCCTACTACAGCCAGATCTGAAGGCCTTTGCCGCATTCTGGCCATGCTGTGTGGCGCGTATCGCGTGGACGGGTTTCACGTTCTCTGCACGTAATAAGCTCGGTTATTAA